TTCCAACCCTCTTGATCCTATGACTCTGTTCAGGAGGGCATGGAGGAAGGGATGAGGTGCCTGGGTTGGGAGGTCTCCTAGAATGATTTGGGTTCACACAATCAGGGAATGGTTTGGGTTGGGAGGGACCTTAAGGACTATCTCCTTCCAATCCTATGGGTAGGAACACCTTCCACTAGACCAGGTGGCTCCAAGCCATCCCTGGAGGGTTTCAAGCTGAGACTGGATGTGGCACTTAGTGCCATGGTCTAGTGACCATGGTAGGGTTGGACTTGATGATCCTGGAGGTCTTTTCCAACCTGGTTGATTCTATGATTCTCTGATGGGCAGGGGAGACATGGTGGATTCACCATCCTTGGAGGTTTTCAAGCTGAGACTGGATGTGCCATGGTCTAGTGACCACAGTAGGGTTGGATTTGATGATCTTGGAGGTCTCTTCCAACCTGGTTGATTCTAGGATTCTATGATGGGCAGTTTGGGGAACTCACTGCACAGCCTTAAACACTCCTGGATTAATGTATTCCACAGCATCTTCATTTCCTTCCTTTCCCCACCCAAAATACATCACAGTCTTGAATTATTCTGCATTTTTTTCCCCACTGCTCAAACACACTAAACATGAGAGTTTAGCTTATTTCCCACTGCTAATGTTTCCACCAAACCCTAAGAGAAACAAAGATGCAGTGAAGACATTTTAAATGTTTATAGAACTGTAAGAACTGATTAATATTTCACAGTGCCAAGAGGGTGGTTTTTTTTAATCTACTGACATCTGCAATCAAATGGTTTCAAAAAAGAGCAGAATTCCTGGGCAGAGCTGCATAAATAGGATGTTTTTTGCCTGTTCTGCACCAATTACTCCTTCAGACTGCACAGAACAAATGAAGGGAGGAATAATTTTCAGCCAGAGAAGTTAATCAAATACACAATTCCAGGAAGGGAAAAATTATAATGAAAGGATTTTTTACAGGAGAGATTTATGGGTCTTATTGAAGGTGGAAAGCTCTGTGACAGCAACTTTTTTCTGTGCTGGCTTTTTGGGATGCTCTAATGAAAAGATTTTCAGCATCCTAGAACAAAATTCCAGGTGGAAATAAACTGGGAAGTGTTACAAAACACAGACAGTTGACTTTGCCAAGGAGCTGAGTCAGGCACTGGAATTTTCTCCAGTCTGTGCTCACCCTATTCCCATATGAGTTTCCTCCTTGTCTGTTGAGGGTTAAACTAACTTTAACTCATCTAGGAAAGCAACCAACTCATCTAGGAAGGCAGAAAATGCTGAGCTGCTGATTATTAGGTGAATTCTTGGCATGTGGTTGTTATACCTGTCCAGGTGTTCCTTGTACTGGGTGGGAGGGAAGAAAGAGGGTGTAGGTGTGTCTTAAGGAAAATATTCAGGACCTCCTTATATTTCTGCTCCCTTTGAGAAGATCTCAGCCTGCTCAGCCCCTGCTCAGCCCAAGCAGCAGCAGCAGCAGCAGAAACACAGGGACAGACTCGTGGCTCCTCTTGCAGCTGCAACTTGGGTTCAAGTTTCTCTCTGAGCCTCTGCCAGTTTTTACTGCATTGCGTCAAAGCAAGTTCCTGCATTTGCCAAGGTAAAGCAAATTGCCAGTAAAATCCATCCCACAGCCCTGAGAGCACCTCAGCCCCCAAATCCATCCTCCCACCCTCCCTCCCACCACGATACCTGAGCAGCAAAGCAGCACTGGGGGTGCCAAACCCACTGGGCACTCACTGCAGCATCACTGCCTGCAGCTCCTCCTCACCCTGCCTGACTCACACGGAGCCTGCAGAGCTGGGAAATCTCTCCTCGAGCTGCAAGACAGGCAAAATAACCTAAGGAGCAGATTGGGAAAGGCTGCAAGAGGAGCTGTGTTTGCTGGTGGATGTCTCACTGTGCAGGGGTGAGAGCATCCCTGGCTGAGAGCTCAGGGATGCTAAGGGCTGGATGCAGGAGTTTAGCTGCAAAAAAAAGGTGTGAAAAAGGATGTAAAAATGGGTAGTGGAAAGGTGAAAGGAGCTCTGAGTGCTTGGAGAAAGGCAGGATGGGGCAGTGGGTTTAAGAGATCAGAGAATCATGGGATGGGTTGGGTTGGAAGGAGTTTAAAGTTCATCTCATCCCACTTTATGCCATGGGTAGGGACATTTCCCACTAGCTCAGGTTGCTCCAAGCTGACCTGGAGCAATCCCAGGGATGGAGCAGCCACAGCTTCTCTGTCCAACCCTCCCAGGGGATAATTCCTTCCCCAAATCCCATCTCTCCCTACCCTCTAGCACTGGGAAACCATTCCCTCTGTCCTGTCCCTCCAGACCCTTGGGAATAATTTTCCTAGCCAAGCTGTTTATTTGGCTTTAATGGCCATGATGACTCTGATCTGGGCTGGAAAATGTGTTTGCTCCTCAGGAGCAGAACCTCTATCCCAGCTGAGTTCCATCTGGTTGAACATTTTGGGAAATATCCAAGAACCAGCTCTGAGCTCCACCTGCAGCAGTTTCTCCCTCTCCTCACTGCTCTAGCAGAAATCCAACAACTCCCCACCACCTTTTAATTGCTGAGTTTGTGCTTTGCTTCTGTGCTGCTCTGTTAGAATTCCTCCTTTTCCAACAGGAGTGTGTGTAGCACATCCCAAGGAGACCCACCACACACCCCTCAGAGTGATTTGACCATGGCAAGATGATTTTCTGTGTGAAATTTTACATCCCCATCAAGAATTTTGCCCATCTCTTCTCCCCCACCAACCACCATCCCATTATCCTCATCCCATCACACCAAGATGAGTGTGATCCAGCCCTTTCTCACCCTCTGGAATGCTGCAGTGACCCAGGACACACACACAAAAAAAAAAAAAAAAAAAAATTTTGTGTAAGCATCTCTGAAACTTTATTGACTAGCTTTATTGCACATACTTATTAAAGCCTCCAGGATTTCCCCCACCCAAGGTTTCCATAATGAATTTAAATGCAAGTTAAAGGTAACTCTCAATCCCATGACCTTTTTTTTTTTTTTTTTTTGGGTTTTTTTCCCCCCTCATTTTTAAATATTTAGGTTCTGAACCATCCAAGAGAGAGACACAAGGCCTGAATTCATACGTGTACACCATGCAGCATCCAGGGAACAAGCCAGTGGGTGCTCTGCAAGCAAAACTCAGACTCTGCACAGAGAGAAACATCATTATCATTAACTTTAAACCTCAGTGGGGACTGAATTAAATATATGAGACTGCAATTTTAGCTCAGTCAATCATCATTCATTCTCTTGGCCTGATGGAAAGCTAAACTGCCTTCAATTCAAGCCTTTTTTTTCCCTTCACTCTCTTCCTTTCCTGGGGTTTCTTTCTCTTCCTTCTCCTCCTCAGCAGCTTCCTCAGCAGTTTCTTGAGATTCCTCCCCTTCTTCAGCTGCTGTTTCTTCCCCTTCTCCTTCCTCTTCCTCACCCTCTTTGGCTTCTTCTGATTCTTCCTTGGCACCTTGGAAAAACAAGAAGATATTTTTCACCTCTAGGTACAATTCCCAAACTCAACTCAATGGGAGACACCAATACCTACAACCCATCAACCTTCAATTGAGCAGCCAAATAGAGCAAAACTACCCAACCAACTCATCCTGGAGTTCAGAGGGAGGGAAACACTTGGTTCAAAATCAAAAAAATAAAATCACACCCTGGAAAAAGATTGATTATGGACTCATTGCTTAAATCCTTAGCCCAAGAGTTGAGTTCAAAGAGGAACTTTGTCATCCTTCTCCAATTGGCTCTGCAGCTATCGTTTCATGATCATTAATCTTGACACTAATCAACCCCTAAATAATTCCATGGCAGCTAGAGAAATTCAGATGTAATCTTGGCACCCACTGAACCCAATAATTCCAGCTCCAGACATCAGCTGATGCTCCTATTCCCATGAGCTTCTCTGGGAATCCAGATTTAGCTCAGGATGTCCTTGCTCCTCTTTTCAGAGGTTGTTTGCAGTCTTGCTGCCAGTTGGGTTTAGAAACCAAGAATCTGCCTGACATTGAGTATTTAACCTGATCTTCACTCAATATTCAATTCAATTTATTCAGATTTTCCTCCTTAAGTGCTGTGTGCTTAACCCCACCATCCTTTACCCAGACAAAGAAATGGTTTTCATCATCACCTATCATCACTTTTACCCCATATGAACAAGGTGAAATATGAAAAAAAAAAGGGATTTGAAAGCAACTTGAAGTACCTCCCTCCTCTTCTTCAGCCTCTTCACCTCCTGCTTCTTCCTCACCTTCCTCCTTCTCTTCCTCCTCACCTTCTTCTTCAGGAGCTGCTTTGGCTTCTGCAGCTTTAGCAGCCTCAATTGTTTCCTCTATTTCAATCTGCTCTTCCTGGACATGACTGGAGTAGTAGGTGGGGAAAGAACGAGTTGTCATCAAGTAGGAGCTGGACTGGAGACCACCATAGGCAGATCTGCCAAAACTTGGAGCACTCTGAGTGTAGCCACTGGTGATGCTTCCAACACTAGTGAAACTGAGTCGAGTTTCTTCCCCTTCCAGCAGTGAAATATGAGGAAAAAAAAAAAAAAACAAAAACAAAAAAACAAAGAAGGAGAAAGGATTTAGTGATGCTGCAGGAGGATTCAGCTCAAGATACAACACAAGGCCAAGAGTGAATCCTTAGGAGAGCAAACCTAGCCCAAAAATAATAACTCTGTGGCAATATTTTCCTGTCTTCTTGGAGTCATGTGCTTCAGAGGTGTCCACCAGAGGTGAATTAACACTTGGTCGTGTCAGAAGAAACAGGAAAACACGTCTAGGATCATGTTAGAGGAGTGTTTTGGTCATCTGCAGCATCTCATAGACCAATGCAGATGAACCAACACAATGTGCAGCTGCCAGAGAAGGTTTTGAGCTGCCAGAGAAGGTTTTGAGCTGCCAGAGAAGGTTTTGAGCTGCTTTCTCAGTCTTCCCCCTTGTGGCTCGCACAGAAACTCAGTTTCAGCACTACCACACCAACAGCAGCAGAGACAAAGCATCTCAGCACCAACTCTGCCCTAAAAAAATGACTTTGCAGATTTGCAAAGGAGCAACGAAGCTCATTCTTTAAGAGCATTCAAGGAGGAAAAGTTCCAGGGCTAGAAGCTCATTCTTTAAGAGCATTCAAGGGGGAAAAGTTCCAGGGATGCAAAAATCTCTTCCCTAAGCACAGAACAGGCATTTCGAGCTGAGATCACAGACTGCCAAGCTAAAAATTCTGTATTTATCTCCACACAGACTTGGCTACCCACTGAAGGTTTTGCTTCAAGTTGACCTCAAGTGTTGCTTCTTCTAGCAACAAGACAAGAGAGAAGACCTGATACAACCCAGACTCATCTCTCAGCAACAAGACAAGAGAGAAGACCTGATTCAACTCAGACTCATCTCTTAACATTTCTGCTGAAGGAATGACAAAGACCATGAATTTTCTTGGAGAATAGGAAGCTGTTTGGCTCAGTAAATCATCCCCCATCATACCTGTATGCTGCAATTTCAATGTCCAAAGCCATTTTGACATTGAGCAGATCCTGGTACTCCTTGAGGTATCGAGCCATTTCACTCTTTGTGGTTCTCAGCTCATTCTCCAGTTTGTTGATGGTATCCTGTTGGATGGAACAACGTTGCCAGTGGAAAATTCTCAACTCTCCCAATCCCCAAGGAATTTTTTCAATCCTTTTTAATTTCACCTTGCTCTAGCAGGCAGAAAATGGCACAACTCCCACTCCACCCTCAGCCAGAAAAGTAATATTTACCACCTCTCCTAGCAAGATTTTCCCACCCCTTTATCTACACCTTACTATTCCAGCCCTAATTAACACCAAGAGCTACATTTTCTGGGGTCCAAGTGCTGAAGGATACATGAAAATTATGTTTCAATTCATTCTGATTTTAGCCTCTCTCTAATTTTAGCTATACCCATTAAGTTGGACTCAATAATCCTTGTAGGTCCTTTCCAACTCAGGAGATTCTATGGGAATGGTATAATTAAGGCTATATCAGTAGATAGATCAATTCTACCATGACTTTAAAGCTCTGTGGCATTAAGATTTTATGCTACCTTAGATTTTAGATGTATAATGCAGCTCTGGCATGAGGCAGAAGCAATGCCACATCTCCAGGATGTTATTGCTATACAGATGATGATATGGATTATAAATCCATCACACATCATGCTCTATACTTCTCTGGCATTTTGCATTGCAATTTTAGGATATCTCAGATGCAATAAAGCTCCAGCATGAGCCAGGAGCAGTGCACACATCTCCTGCTGCCCCCAACAACCTTCTCCTGCAAATCCTGGTCCTCCTCACCTGTGGGACTCCACAAACCCTGACTGCACTTCACTTGCTCAATCCTGCAGACTCAAACCTCCTCACCTGTGGGACCTCTGAAATCCCCAACCCATGTCACCTGCAGAACCCTGAGATCCCTGAGACCTCCCTCACCTGCAGAATTTCTGCAATCCCCAGCCCATGTCACCTGCAGAACCCTGAGATCCCTGAGACCTCCCTCACCTGCAGAATTTCTGCAATCCCCAACCCATGTCCCCTGCAGAACCCTGAGATCCCTGAGACCTCCCTCACCTGCAGAATTTCTGCAATCCCCAGCCCATGTCACCTGCAGAACACTGACAGTCCCAATATCCCTTTTACCTGCAAGGATCTCGACCCACCTCTCACCTGCAGGACTTCTGCAATCCCCAACCCATGTCCTCTGCAGAACACTGATAATCCCAATATTCCTCTTACCCACAAGGATCTCAAACCCCCTCAACTGCAGGACCTCTGCAATCCCCAACCCATGTCCCCTGCAGAACCCTGACAGTCCCAATATCCCCTCACCTGAAGGACCTCTGCAATCCCCAATCCATGTCCCCTGCAGAACACTGACAACCCCAACATCCCTTTTACCAGAAAGGATCTCAACCCCTTTCACCTGCAGGATCTCTGCAATCCCCAACCCATGTCCCCTGCAGAACACTGATAATCCCAATATTCCTCTTACCCACAAGGATTTCAACCCCTTTCACCTTCAGGATCTCTGCAATCCCCAAACCCACATCCCCTGCAGAACCCTGACAGCCCCAACATCCCTTTTACCTGTAAGAATCTCAACCCCTTTCACCTGCAGGATCTCTGCAATCCCCAACCCATGTCCCCTGCAGAACCCTGACAGTCCCAATATCCCCTCACCTGAAGGACCTCTGCAATCCCCAATCCATGTCCCCTGCAGAACACTGACAACCCCAACATCCCTTTTACCAGAAAGGATCTCAACCCCTTTCACCTGCAGGATCTCTGCAATCCCCAACCCATGTCCCCTGCAGAACACTGACAACCCCAACATCCCTTTTACCAGAAAGGATCTCAACCCCTTTCACCTGCAGGATCTCTGCAATCCCCAACCCACGTCCCCTGCAGAATCCTGACAGTCCCAATATCCCCTCACCTGAAGGACCTCTGCAATCCTCAATCCATGTCCCCTGCAGAACACTGACAACCCCAACATCCCTTTTACCAGAAAGGATCTCAACCCCTTTCACCTGCAGGATCTCTGCAATCCCCAACCCACATCCCCTGCAGAACACTGACAGTACCAAGATCCCCCTAACCTGGAAAGATCTCAACCCTTCTCACCTATAGGACCTCTGCAATCCCCAACCCACGTCCCCTGCAGAATCCTGACAGTCCCAATATCCCTTTTACCTGCAAAGATCTCAACCCCTTTCACCTTCAGGATCTCTGCCATCCCCAAACCCTGTCCCCTGCAGAACACTGACAGCCCCAATATCCCTTTTACCAGAAAGGATCTCAACCCCTTTCACCTTCAGGACCTCTGCAATCCCCAAACCCTGTCCCCTGCAGAATCCTGACAGTCCCAATATCCCTTTTACCTGCAAAGATCTCAACCCCTTTCACCTTCAGGACCTCTGCAATCCCCAAACCCTGTCCCCTGCAGAATCCTGACAGTCCCAATATCCCTTTTACCTGCAAAGATCTCAACCCCTTTCACCTTCAGGACCTCTGCAATCCCCAAACCCTGTCCCCTGCAGAATCCTGACAGTCCCAATACCCCTTTTACCTGCAAGGATCTCAACCTTTCTCACCTGCAGGATCTCTGCAATCCCCAACCCATGTCCCCTGCAGAACACTGATAATCCCAATATTCCTCTTACCCACAAGGATTTCAACCCCTTTCACCTTCAGGATCTCTGCAATCCCCAAACCCACATCCCCTGCAGAACCCTGACACTCTCCCATCCCTCTCACCTACAGAACCCCTACAAACCCCCATTCCATTCCCCCAACCCTTCCACCCTTTTTTTTTCACCTGCAGGGCAGAGATATCAGCACTCTGCTTCTCTTCCAGCTCCTGCAGCTGCTTCTCTAGCGCTTCATTCATCCCGCGGGTGGCTTCGATTTCCAGCGTCTTAGCTTTGAGCAGGCGACGACTTTCGGATACCTCATCCTTGGCAGCTCGAACAGCATCCGTGTTCTTGGCAGCACTCTCGCTGAGCACGGTGAAACGGCTGCGGAACCATTCCTTTTTTCGGCATTCTGCATATTGCGAGCAGCCAGTTTCTCATACTGAGCTCGGATGTCTCGCAGAGCAGCTGACAGATCAGGCTTAGCCGACACATCCATCTCCACCGAGAGATGAGCATATTGGATCTGAGCCTGTAGTTCTGCCAGCTCCTCCTCGTGTACCTTCTTGAGGAAAGCCAGCTCGTCCAGCAAGCTGTCCACTCTCTTCTCCAGCTCTGCCCGAGCCAGTGCTGCTTCATCCGCTCCTTTGCGCACCTCGAGCAGTCGAGCCTCAGCATCCTCCCTGCTCAGCACCTCCTCCTCGTACCTTGCCTGCAGCCCCCGGAGCGTCTCCTCCAGGCTCTCCCTCTCCCCTTGCAGCGCTTGTTTCTCGCTCGTCGCCTCCTCCGCGGCCAAACGCAGCTCACGGATCTCTTGCTCATACAGAGCTCGAAAACGAGAGGGTTCGGCGTGTTTCTGCCGCAGCACCAACAGCTCAGCCTCTAGCACCTTATTTTGCTGTTCCAGCTCGTGGACTCGTTCGATAAAACAAGCGAAACGATCGTTTAGGTCTTGCAGCTGAGCTCGCTCCTGGCTACGGATGGATTTAAGGTCGTTGCTGATTGCAGCTACCTGGCTCAGGTCGAGGCTGTCCACGGAGTGCAGCAAAGAGCCCGAGGCGCTGGAGGTGGCATAGCTGCGTCGCACGGACACCGAGGACACTGGCGCGGACAGACTGGAATAAGCGGAGCGAGCAGAGCTGTAGCCGCCGCCGCTTCGCACAGACACATGGAGCCGAGGGCTCTCGGCATAACGCCGCTTGTAGGATGGGAAAAACGGGTCGTAACCGTACGAGCTCATCCTTCCCGGGCTACCCAGAGGATGCTCTGCGGCGAGGCACGCCCGAACCTCGCAATTTATGGGCCAGGAGGGCGGGAGGGAGTTGCTGCTGGGAGGAGATGGGGAGGAGCGCGGAGGGGAGGGGAGGAGAGGTTGATAGGGCTCTGAGCAGCATCGAGGGGAGGTATGGGAGGCTCTGAGCATCACTGCCTCGGCAGATGGGCAGGGTTGTTCAGGGTAGCACCGCAGGGAGGTACGGGCGGCTGTGAGCATCACTGCCCCGAGTATGGGCAGGTCTGAGCATCACCGATCCGGTCAGAGTATCACCGCGGGGAGGTACGGGCAGCTCTGAGCATCACTGCCCCGAGTATGGGCAGGTCTGAGCATCACCGACCCGACAAATGGGTCGGTCCCTTCAGGGTATCACCTCGGGGAGGTGTGGGCAGCTCTGAGCATCACCGACCCGGCAAACGGGCCGATCCGGTCAGGGTATCACCGCGGGGAGGAATGGGCAGCTCTGAGCATCACTGCCTCGAGTATGGGCAGGTCTGAACATCACCGATCCGGTCAGGGTAGCACCGCGGGGAGGAATGGGCAGCTCTGAGCATCACTGCCTCGAGTATGGGCAGGTCTGAACATCACCGATCCGGTCAGGGTAGCACCGCGGGGAGATACAGGCAGCCCCGAGCATCACCGACCCGACAAATGGGTCGGTCCCTTCAGGGTATCACCTCGGAGAGGTACGGGAAGCTCTGAGCTGCATCACCGCGGTGAGATAACGGCAGCTCCGAGCTGCATCCCCGCCCCGAGGTACAGCCCTGCCCACTCTGCTCAGGGCATCACCATTCCGAGATATGGACAGCTCCGAGCATCACTGCCCCGAGGTGCTGCCGGCGCTGCCCTGAGTATCACTGTCCCAAGCATCACCTCCCCCAGAGCATCATCCCTCCCCCGAGCAGCATCCCCCCCAAGCATCATCTCCCCCCGAGCATCATTCCCCGGAGCA